TTCCCCCAACAACAGGACTGGGCCCTTCAACTGTGGAATTTGATGTTAACTTTGGTTAGTGGTAGAATTGAGTTGTAAGACACCCAGTTGGAATTGGAGAGCTGGTGAAGTGGTTTCAGAAAACACACCACGTGTTTGCTGTTGGGGTTTAAACAAAACAAAACTCTCAACCTCACAAGTCTTTCTGAGGTCTCTCTCTCTCTCAACTTAGGTCAGGCAGAAAGGCTAGAGGGGACTCAAGTTAGCAAATTTCCCCTATTGCCAAAAAAACCTTGGCTCTCTGTGCACTGATGTTGAACAGAAATATGGAGACAGAGTTTTTGGAGGAAAAGAAAGATAGCTTTTAATTCTTTGCCAGGCAAAGGGGAAAACGCAGCAGGCTAGCACCTCAAGAACTGTGCCCTCACTTCCTGAGGAGTCAGAGGAGATCTTATAGGTGGGGCTCGAAGTCCGGGGGTGTATGATAAGGATCGAAGTCATGAAGGTCTTGCATTTTTCTTCTTCTTGCATTATTTCAAAACAGTCACAGCTGGAGTCAGGCAGCCCATCCCGGTAACTGGGCCTGTTTGTCTCTGGTTTATTGGCCTGTGACCTTCTTTCTGAAATGCAAAAAGCGACAAGGGGTGACTTGTAACAAGGGAGTGCAGGGAGCTTAAACACCAGGTGCAGGATGTAATTTACATCACACAGAATTAGGGGGTGATAGGTGCAGGATGTAATTCACATAGTGTCAGGTAGTGATAGGTTAGCTTTGTGAAGGACTAATCTAGTTACAGACACTACAGATTAGTACCAGTTAAAATATAGCTAGGAGTGATTAACTCTTTCAGGCCTGTTTGTTTCTTCTCTAGCCTGATCACTGTTCCCTTAACTTTCCTTGTTCTCAGGAGAGGAAAAACTTCATTTCTATTTTTGCTGCAACAAATTCCCCACTGCTAGTTCATTCCCTCCATATCAGTGGAGGAAGGGAAACGGGCATCATTCTTGTCTGGCTGAGGACAAAACTTCAGTTTTGCTCCACTTGACAAACACCAGCTGTCTGGCCCAGGGGCCCATCTATCTCCTACTTCAACCTCCCACCATGTCAGTTAGGCACTGGCAAAACAGAATCTTTTGAGGACAGGCATTGTTAAGAGCAGAATATTGTGGGCATATTTCAAAATTGCTATTTTACTGTCTCTCCAATTTTGGAGACAGCAGTCGGCCCTGTGATTAATGGTTTGATAGATCTGAGTCGTTAATTTTAAGTTTGTTTGCTTTTTTCTGGTGAGGATTATAGGAATGTCCCCTTCTAAGCTCTTTACATGCCAGATGAGAATCTAGAAGTCTGACTCCATTTTTTTATGTTTGACTGCTGACAACTTTTAAAGCCTCATCCTTCCTTCTCCTGGTGCCCCACATCTGTACAAGATGACAAGAAGCCCTGAGTGCTTACTTCTTTGGTGCTGGTAAGAGATTAAATCCTTGGTAGCCTCTGCCTTTATGTTCAAAATCTCACACTAGTCCACCTCCTAATCTCAATTAAAACAAACAAATAAAAAAATCCCTCAGGCAAAAATTTGCAGCAACATGGGTGGACCTAGAGATTCTCATACTGAGTGAAGTAAGTCAGACAGAGAAAGACAAATATCATATTATATCGCTTATATGTGGAATCTAAAAAAATGGCACAACTGAACTTATTTATAAAACAGAAATAGAGTCACAGATGTGAAAAGCAAACATGGTTACTGGGGGGAAAGGGGGGTGGGGAAGGTTAAATTGGGAGATTGGGATTGACATATACACACTAACATATATAAAATAGAGGGACTTCCCTGGTGTCCAGTGGTTAAGACTCTCCACTTCCAATGCAGGAGGCACAGGTTCAATCCCTGGTCTGGGAACTAGACCCATGTGCTGCGTGGTGCGGCCAAAAATTTTTTTTAAATTAAAATAAATAAAATAGATAACTAATAGAGACCTACTGTATAGCACAGGGAACCCTACTCAGTCCTCTGTAATGACCTATATGGGAAAAGAATCTAAAAAAGAGTGGATATATGTTTATGTATAATTGATTCTCTCTGCTGTACAGCAGAAACTAACACAACATTGTAAATCAACTATACTCCAATAAAAATTAAAAAAACAAACGAAAAAAACTCAGGCCAGGCTCCTTGCCTTGTTCTGTCAAGGCATTTCCCACCTGCTTAAGAGGCCTTCCCTGCCCTCCCCAGACACTTCCATTATGGAAGTAATAAACTCTTTCATACGTTCCTGGCAGTAATGTGTTGTCAATCAAACCTAGGGTAGGGACCCCCCCTAACACAGTAGGTTACCATAACAGTTATAGAAGGGGTAAGGTATTGTCAACTGAAAAAAAATATTCACAACCTGAAAGTTGAGAGTTGTGTTTTCTTCAGTGGACATACTGAGGAGTTCAAGTCCGGAGGCAGCATTTCAAGTAACCCTGAGAAAACTGCTCTGAGGAGGCGAGAGGGGAGCTAGGATATATAGGAGTTTTGCAACAAAGGGCAGGTAGTAGGAACAAAAGATTACTGTTAATAAAAGAAAACTAGGTACAGTAAGTCCCCTACATAAGAATGAGTTCTGGTTCTGAGAGCACGTTCATCAGTCCGATTTGTTTGAAAGTCCAACAAAGTTAGTCTAGGTATCCAACTAACACCATCGGCTATATGGTACTGTACTGAAATAGGTTTATAATACTTTTCACACAAATAATACATAAAAAACAAAGAATAAATAAAACACTTTTAATCTTACAGTACAGTCCCTTGAAAAGTACACTAGTACAGTACAACAGCTGGCATACAGGGCTGGCATCGAGTGAACAGGCAAGAAGAGTTACTGGAGGAGAGGGAGGAGGTGGGAGATGGTAGAGCTGAAGGACCTCAGCAGTAGGAGGTGGAGGGCAAGCTGCAGTTTCACTCACGCCTAACGTTGATGGAACACTCATTTGCATCTTTGAAAGTTCGCAACTTGAAGGGTTGTTTGCAGGGACTTACTGTATCTCAAGTTAAGGAATTTAGCACTTTTCTATGTATGGGAAGATGCAAGAGTCTGGGCTCACTGAAATCATTCCTTTGATATGCACCTCACCTATCTGGGGTCAGTATCCTGTGTTTTCACATCCTGAGTTTCCTCCGGGGTCACCGGCTCACCTTTTCGGCGCTGCAATCCCTGATGACTGTGACATCATTTGCTTACTGATATGGCAGGCAATATTTTATTTCTCAGTATCTTTATCAATACACTTTGCTTAATTGTTCTATTGATAAATACTCCAGATTTTTACGTATCAATGCACGCCACCCTTTATTTTTAAAAGGTACAAATGATGATGATTTATGTAATCCATTTTTTCTAAATATCGGGTTGGCCAAAATGTTCATTTGGGTTTTTCCATAAGGTGGAAAAACCCAAACGAACTTTTTGACCAACCCAATAGATACATGGCTTGTTACTGTGGATGAAAAATGCTGCCTGCCATATCGATAAACAAAGGATGTTGCAGCCATCAAGTCATCAGCTATCAAGCCATCCCCAACTGTGCACCCTGAGGGGATTCAGGGTGGAAAAAAAGATACTGGCCCTAGATAGTTAAGGTGCATATCAAAGGAATGTTTTCAGTGAGCCCAGACTCTCGCATCTTCCCACATGTAGAAAAGCGCTAATTCATTAACTTGAGATATCTGGTTTTCTTTAATTAACAATAATCTTTTGATGTTCCACTACCTTGTTTTTCTCTCAAAACTCCTATATATCCTGGCTTCTCCCTTACCTTTTTGGAGCCCCTCAGAGCTACCTGAGAGACAGCCTCCCAGGCTTGAGTCCTCAGGAAGTCTGCCACATAAAACATAATTCTCAACTTTTATATAGTGCATTTTTTTCAGTCGATATTACTAATTTTTGCTGCCAAAACCATGAATGAAAACTCAGATTGCCACCTTACAGGGCAAAAAAACATATACAAATTTATGTTATTTTCCAAACTGAATTTCTTCTTAAAATTTTTATCATAACATTATTCAGGGAATAATGTTTTCCATTATTCAGGGAAAAAATGTACAAAATGTTTTGTGGTAAGATTTAGTAATAATATACACATCCTTGGAATCATCATGAAGATTCTTAAATGACCTGTGGGCAGTGGTGAGGTGTCCTGATGTTCCCATCCCTGACTTATCTCCATCCTGCCCCATTCATGACCACTGTCCTGGTTTGTTTATCTACATACCCTTACCATCTAAATATTTTTCACTCAGCAGTGTTCTTTCAGTTTTACCTCCTTTGACCTTTCGACAAACGAGTATTGATGGAATTCCATTGAAAAGGTGGTTTCTCTGCCTGTGTTTCACACATGCTAGTGTTTGAGGCTTCAGGGCTGGTCTAGGACTGTGGGGTTCATCTCCCACCAGAGCCAAGTGCCCCTGAAGCCAGGGGACTTAAAGTACCAGATGAGTGGGGGTGGGGAGGGGAGACAGAATTCTCCTAAAGGAAATGGTTAAAGATGAAAGTGGAACAGAGTCTTTTTTTTGGGGGGGGGGGGGGGGGGGGGAGCTGCTCTGTGGGGCTTGTGGGACCTTGGTTTCCAGACCAGGGATCCAACCCGTGCCCCCTGCAGTGGAAGCACGGAGCCCTAACCAGTGGACGGCCAGGGAATTCCTGGAACAGCCTCATTATTACCGAATAGTGAGGACACAGAAGTGTCCATGTTTGTGAAGGGTCACAGTTCTGTGCCAGGCCTCAGTGGCCTTACGGTTTGACGATGTGTCCTTGGAGAGAACATTTCCCACCCACTGCCAGGACAAGGTTGGCTCAAAGATGCGACCTCCGCCCTCCTGTCACTCAGGCATGGGGGGGCGGGGCCCTGTGAACTGTCCAATCAGGGGAGTCGCCGATTATTTTACGTGGCGGTGCTGCTACGATAACGCCGGAGGCGTGGACTGCGTGCGTGCTCAGTGCCGCTTGTTCTGACAGTGGCCGTATCAGCTCCTGCTGCCCTTAAAGGCTCCAGGTGGTTATGCCGCATTCTGTGTCGCTGTGACCGGCACTTGCCGCGGCGGTCATGGGGTGGACAGCCGGAAACTCCAGAAACCGAAAAACGGTGAGTGTGCAGGGTCGGGTGTTGGGAGAGGGAGGCGGTGGGACTGATGGAACCGGGCCTCCCGTGCGGCCATCTCCAGAGTCTGCGGACCCGAGTCAGCCGGTGGCGTGCCACACAGCCTTAGGGGCTGGGTCGACAGCGGGGACCCTCGGGTGTCCTGTCCTGTCCCTGCGAACCCGAGTCTCCCCCACACGGCGCGGTGGCCATAGGGAGGGACTCGGGGCAATCGTGACTCGGTCTCTGGGGTACACGTGTGGGAGCAGCTGTGGTCTGGGGGTGTCCGGTTCCCCCTTTCTCTCCAGGGGAATCATTTTACTCTCACTTTTTAAAATGTTTGAGGAACAGGATGTCAAATCCACGACCCTGTCCCCCCAGCCTAGCTCTTCCTAGGGCTGGCAATAAATCCCTAAATTTACAGATGTTTCCCCGCATTCCCAAATGCCATCTTCCCCTCTGCAGTTCATAGTATCACTAATAACTGTTTTTCTCCGTGGTGCGTTGCAAACGGATGCAGTATTTTAATTGTTTAATCATTTATCAACGGAGCCATGGATGGCTCTTTTTAAAGATTTATTGTTACAGCTGTTTTACTTGAGAGGAAAGCAGAGAACGACTGCCTGGAATATGTTATATGGAATGCTTGTGCCTCTCCTCTCAAAATCTTTCTTGGTCACGGACATCCTATGGGAAGACCTTTGGGTGGAGGGTCCTCTTGAGAAACTTTCCTGGGTGATCTTTTTTCAGCACTGCCTCCGTTCCTGAGTTTCTCTCTTTGAAAAGATTTATTCACTTATTTGAGACTCAGTTTTTCAATAAGTGTAAATTTTATTTATTCAGTAGACCTGGGGAGACAGTATAAAGTTTTTCCAAAGAGGCAAGAAAGGTGAATTTCAGAAAAATATTTCATTATTACATTCTGTGTGTTAAAATTTTTGTTTCCTTTTTTTTTTTCCCCCACCCTGAGTGGATGTAGTAATATTCTGAGGTCTTTTGGGTGATTTCCAATGGCATATCAGGACTTAGACTTGCAAAATCTAGAAGTGTTCCAATACGATTGTTTACAAGTCAGTTTCTTTTTTTGGAATTAATTCATTGACATCTTCATTTTCCGACAGGAATAGGTGTTTTGGGATTTTCCTGTTGAAAAAATAAAATTGCCTTACAGTCTTCTCTCTTCCTTTACACATAAATACTGGGTTGAGTGATTTTTCTGGACTGTTGAATCACTGGGTTTATGTCATTTAAATTATCATCGGTGATCCAAAGTATTGTGACTGGAGCAGAGGCCTGAGGCCAGTGACTCCAAACTAAAGTTCCCATCTGGAGCCGGCAGTGGGGGGGGGGGTTTCTTTGGCCTAGATGTTTTATGTTTGAGTTCTGCATCCATGATATAGGTGCACTCAGAGTGTATTTTGTGTATTAAAAAAGTCTGTGGTCAGGAGTTCTGTCTCTGGACAAAAAGTTATGAATTTGGGAGTTTAAGTCGGATCTTAAACTGAATCTACCTGAGAATTTCCTCACTTGTGAGAATGTGAGGAGAGTTCTCCCCGGTGACTGTTCAGGTGTCCCTACCCTCCTTCACCAGGGACTGACCCACCTTAGGGGTTGTATCTCAACCTGGGTATCTAGACCCCAAGCTTGGGAATGTGTTTAACTTTCTGAATGTGGGTTTTCGTTCTTAACTGTGGGCAAGCAGACTTCTTACCTGAGCTGATTTGAATATTTGTGTTTCTTTTCTTTAGATGCCTTTATCTATTGGATATTTCAGTCCTTTAACTCTAGTTTCCCTTAGCAGTTTGCAATTTTATTTCCTTGGTGAGTGTATATGATTTTTGATTTCTTAGGCTTTGAAAAATATAAGTTGATTGAAAAATATGTGTTAAGGCAAGAAAATCCTGGAACCAAACAGAATTTCTGTGCCTTTTAGGCAACAGAATCTTAAGCTGTGAGATGGGTATGTTTAGGTTCTCAGGCACATTTTTCATTTTTAGATCAGTTTTTGTATGTGCTTGTCCCTAGAGAACTTTGATATTTAAAAGGCTGTACAATTCTTAAGGCAAGTGAATTTCTACTTGTGTTGATGAGTGAAAAAAACTGTTGAATTTCTGTTTTAATTGATATGAGAAAAACTACTCAAACTTAGGAAAGTCTTTGAAAATCCTAGTAGGTTTCTTCATGGATTAAGTGCAAACCTCTAATGCATTATAATATGCTACTCATTCCTGACCATATCCTGAGTGTGAAATATAGTGGAGGGACAAACTATGATGTGGTTTGTCCTTTTAGTTAGAAAGACATTTGAAGTTTTTCACTTTCTACAGTTTGCAGTTTTATACCCAATAGTGTTTAAAGAATTAAATTTAGAATGATTTCCTATGTAGAAAAATTAAAATTAATTTAAAAATAAATTTAAAGTAGCAACAGTTAATTAAAAACAGACTACTAGGTAGCAAAGTACGGTGTATATAAATTTCTCTTAATTTTAAATAATGTTTGTAAAGGATTTAAAAAATAGTAAGGTATGAAACAGTGAGATATCTGTTTTTTTTGAACATTTTTAGGCTTACAGAAAAATTGATCAGAAAGTACAGAGAGTTTCCACTTGACCCCTCTGCATCCACACAGTTTGTACTATTTTTTTACATCTCATATTATTATGGTATATTTGTTACAATTGATGGATCAATATCGATGCTATAAAGTCCACTGTTTATATTAGCCTTGACTCTTTGTGTTATACAATGTAGGGATTTTGGCAAATGTATAATGACATGTGTCCATCATTTCTATAGAATAGTTTAACTTTGCTAAGGATACCCTGTGCTTCACCGGTCCATTCATCCCTCCCTCAAACCCCCAAATCCTTCCCAAGCAAAGATCTTTTTACTGGCTCATAGTTTTATCTCTTCCAGAATGTCCTAAACAGTAGGAATCATACAGTATGTAGCCTTGTCAGAGTGTCTTCTTTCACTTAGCGTTATGCTTCTAAGTTTCCTGTTTCGTTCAGGCAAATTATGCTCAGAGACTGAGATTGTCTTTGCCAGTAATTTATTTAACACAGGTTCAACTGCGGGAATTATAATTTATAATATTTCACAAGCCAATAGCAAATAGGATAATGTCTCTTAATAAGCCAGTAAAGACATAACGTACCCCAAACCAATGATAGTTTAATTACACTGTTGTTCCAGCCAAAGGGAAGATGAAAGAAATAAAGTCCAAATTTAGTTGAGTTGCACCTTTATATGAATTGGTTCGTGATAGCGTCAGTCCTTCCAACTAAAAGCTGGGTATCAGATGCCCGCTTAGATCCTTCCCTGCTGGGCAAAGGCACTAGTGTTGGCAGGCAAGGTAGGCTGCTTGGTCCAGGGACCATTTCATGGCTTGCACCACTGCTTATGAGGAGTAGGCTCGCCAAGGCAGAAACAAATATGTCCCTTCTCTTCCTGAGACTTCTGCTTGGCTTAACACCATTGCTATCCAAGAGTAACCTGGCCACAGCAGGAGCAAGTGTCTCATGGTCTTCTGAGAGCTTTTTAGATTAGCAAAGAGTAGCCTTACCCAGACTGAACACTCAACTTAAGTCCTCACAGATTCTTGGTGTTTAAAGTTTAAATGTCCGTCACATGATTGTCACTCCTCCATATGTTCATAATGGTAAGCACAATTTTGATGGCGTCATCCTGACATGGCCTCCCAAAGTAAACAAATTCACTCTTGGACCAAAACATCTTTACTTGAGCCATAAACAAGTAGATCAAAACAACTTCACTGAAGCCATAAATGCATTAATTTGAAATTATAACAAACCAGTACACAGCAGCTTCCTCCTTTCTGTTGATAGCTTGATAGCTCATTTCTTTTTATCACTGAACAATATTTCATCATATGGATATACCACTGGTTGTTTATTCAACTATTGAAGTATTCTTGCTTAACTCTAAGTCTTGGCAATTATGCATAAAACACCTATAAACACTGATTTGCATATTTCTGTGTGAAGACAAGTTTTCAACTCATTTGGGTAAATATAAATATACAAGGAGTATAATCTAGGAGCTAGATTCTATGATAAGGGTATGTTCAGTTTTGTGAAAAAACCGCCTGTCTTCCAAAGTAGGCATACCATTTTCCATTCGCATCAGCAATGAGTAAGGATTCCTCTAGCTTTACATCTTCATCAATATTTGGTATTCTGAGTGTTTTGTATTTTACCCGTTGTAATAACCGTTTAGTGGTATCTATTTGTTTTATTTGCAATTTCCTAATGATATTTGATGTTGAGCTTCTTTTCATATGCTTATTTAACATCTGTATATCTTCTTTATTGATGTGTGTGCAAATTTTTTCCCATTTTTTCCCCCATGTTTGGGACTTTATTTTTTTCCCCAGGGATTCTTGCTTATTTTCAATTTTGCCCTTTTTTTTTTGGCTGTGCCACACAGCATGTGGGATCTTAGTTCCCCAACCAGGGATCAAACCCGCGCCCCCTGCATTGGAAGCGTGGAGTCTTAACCACTGGACCACCAGGGAAGTGTCCCGAATTTTGCCCATTTTTTAACTGGATTGTTTGTCATCTTACTGTTGCATTTTAAGAGTTCTTTAGACATGTTGGATACCAGTCCTTTGTCAGATAAGTGTTCTGCAAAGATTTTTTTCCCCAATCTGTGACTGTCTTTATATTCTCTTACCACTGTCTTTTGTAGCACAGGGGATTTTAATGAAGTGAAGCTTATTGTTTTCTTTCTTGGATCTTGCTTTTGGTGTTGTATCTTAAAATTCATCAATTAACACAAGATCACCTTGATTTTCTCCTATGTTATCTTCTAGAAGTTTTTTACTTTTGCATTTTACATTTAGAGCTATGGTCTATTTTAAGTTTTGTGTAAGGTCTGTGTCTAGGTTTACTTGTTTTTTGCATGTGGATATCCACTATTTCCAGTACTGTTTGTTGAAAAGACTTTCTTTTTTCCATTGAATTGCCTTTTAGTCCTTTATCA